ATCAGATGTGAAGCGAGGGATTCTGATTGTTCTATGGGCTGATAAACAGCAAGAAGAAGTGACTTTGATGAAGTATGATCTGATTCTAAACTCAGAACACATCGTACAAGCAATGGGCGAAACTGCAGCAGACTTCCACCTAAATACTCTACAGTTCTCCATAAACGATCATTTTTTCGTTTCAGTCTCTTTTCGTATGCATCTTGCAAATTCGATATCTCGAAAACAAAGGCGCGAGGGGATAAATCCTCTTGAGGTTTTTCATACCTCATTGAGGTCTACCTATCGCCAAAAGATGAGACCTAAAGGGCTTAAACACCTGAATATGTTCCGTTCCCTCGTCAGTCCCGTCGTTAGAGTAAAGTATTTTTCATTTCGATAAAACATCGATTATCCGAAATCGAAAATAATCTGAAATGTCTTACACTAAGTGCAAACGAAATTTTTCTTATGGTAAAATACTAAAGCGACCTAATAGTTCAGATTACTTGCGTAAAGTGTAAAATGAAGTTAACAACAAAATAGTATAAAAGTGTGGAATTCTCTTTAATGTGGAGGCCTGAGAATAACAACCCTCAGAAAAAAACAGACTTTAACTTTCGAGTAGCTCGAATTTCGAGTTGCTCGGTTCGAGTTTTTGGGTAACCCGAAGCTCGGTGCACACCTATTCTTAATATAGATTTTCACTACGTTTTTGAGCTATCTATCCATGTAAAGAAACTAGGCTTAACATTACTTAACAGTTGAAAAATAACTTCAAAAGCCTTTTGCTTATGAAAATACGCTCTGAAATCTTGGCTATCGATGACGACAACCGCAGATGCTCACCTCTTTTTTAGCTCGAGTTATTGAAAAAATGGCCAGTGGTATTCTATTTCGAAAAAGACAATAGTATAAAAGACACCAATTTGATGAATTTTCTTTTTGTTTAGGTGTCAACAACCAGTTTTAGCTTCTGACGGTAAAGACAAACTGGCTATGTGTTCACAGTGCAATTATTCCTTCTGTAAACAATGCAAAGAAGTTTATCATTCTGAAAGTCTTTGTGCACAAGAACTTGACCTCGAATTGCTTCGCTGTAAACAACGTAAAATCAGTCAGAAACTTGATTCACTTGCTTATACGTCACAACAAAAAGGTTTTCTTTTAAAAGAAATTTTAGCTACGGAACTTATTGAACAAAACACTCGACAATGTCCAAATATAAAATGTGGAGTGAAAATAGAAAAAAATGGAGGTTGTTCACATATGCATTGTGCAAGGTGTAATCTTGATTTCCAATGGGAAGATGCCATCATACCTGAGCAGCCACAACGATCCATTCTCAAAGAACTTGGTGATGATTTAGATGAAGTCATAGAGAAATTTGAAAATAATAAAGATGATGACAAAGCAGCAATGTTGATCAGGGAAGTCGTTCTGAATCGAACAAAAATATGCCCGTGGAAAAAATGTGGAAAGTTGAATGTGAAATCTGGTACAAATAATTGGCTCATTTGTCAACACTGTAGAAAAAGTTTTTGTTTTCAATGTGGCAATCCGCTTATCGGAAGAAATCATTTTGGATATGGGTGTCGACAATATAGCAAAATGAAAATTTAGCTTTCCAAGTTAAATGAAATATTTTGTGAAACAAGTGCCAAAAAGAAAATAATAAAACTGGAAATGTACTTCCAGTTGCTTTTTGATAGTTTCTAGTCAGCCCATGAAGTATCTCAAAGTTTATTTTCGATACGATGGTTTTATCGCGCATAAACTCAGTCAATAAGAAAAATTAAAAATTTCAGCTTTGGATTCTCCATTTAGTCTGGAACGCCACAAATTTAGTACTCCACATTGTAAACTTAAAAATAAATTATACAAAATAAAATACAATTTTCAATTTGTCCATATACGAATCCACTAGTGAATTTTTACTTCCTTGAAAATGTGACCATTTTCATAGAACCGGTCTGGATTTTCCAGAAAATTAAACCTATCTAGGAACAAGTACAGGATAGGTCTTCGGAGAGCCGATTTTCGTAGTATATGAAAGCAGGTTCAATCTGAAAATATGAAGCCGTTTCAGTTAATTTTGAGAGAAAGATAAACTGACTAGGCTTTGATGAAGACAGCTTAAAGTAATTACTTTTCGTAAAACTACATATCGCTCGCTTTTCTCTAATGACGGACATAGTCGACGATGCTTTATCTATCTATCTGTCTTGCAAGTATATTGAGCATTCACCTGGAAAACTCTACAGGCTAAAATATCGAAAGACATGGCTCTCAAGAATATCCGCGCCACTCAGTAACGTTGGCAGATAGCAAGCTCGCGTTTTCAAAGTTCTGTAAAATACAGTCGGGCTGTTCACGTGTCCACTTGGCTATCGCCAATTTTGTCTTAATTTGCATTGAGAGGCAATGCAAGTCACATCTTTTTCTAAGCAAAGGGCTAGTTCGTATATGGCTCGCTATGTCAAGTACTACAGCTTTTTTTATGAAGTACTGATGCAAACGAGTGATTGATATCATAATGTGTGTAAGATATAATATGTTGAAATCTAGAAAGAAATATTTTGAACATTTTTGTTTATAAAATCTTGACGTCACTCCCCCACTCACAACTCAATAACTGGTGATAAAAACAAATACCTGGTACATATATATACTCCGAGATGCGAAGGGAAGCTACCGAAACAAAAAAAATAAAAGTATAAAAGAGAAAAGTGTGATATGATATTCGAACCTATTCTCGTTTAAAACGAAATACAACTTGCATTGAGAGATAATGTAATTGAATTATTGACGAAAAACCATTGGTTGTATTGGTGAAAGTACAGTGTACTCTCGTCAATTGGCGAAAGTTTACAGGACATTAAACAGTTGGTGAAAGTACACTGGATTTTTGTAGTTTGTCGAACGTCATACTGGCATAACTCTCGCTTTTAAAAATGCGCGCCTCCTCAAAAAAGATCAATGAAGTATACCACCAGCAGGTTATCCCAACAGTGTAATTCTTTTATTGAACAACATATTCCAGTGTCTACTTTCAGCGTCTGAAAAACATTTCTGTCTTCTCTTTTTCAGAAATTATTCAACACATGTAACTTCGTTTCTTTCTAACTGTACAATAGTTTAACTAGAGCCCACTGCCCTGCACGTAGACCAGAAAGCCGATTTCTGAAGCGTAGTTTCAGATATTTCACACAAACTGCGTATCTGTTCGGACAATGTTGATATTTGACATGTCACTGTTGATTTCTTATCGTGTGACTTACATAATAAAATTGCAAATAAAATTATTACAACTAAAATTCCTCTTCTCTGGTAATTCACGAAGACTGTCAGATTCTTAAAATGCTCTGAGGACTTTCATGCAGCCTGTGTGTTTAGTTTAGAAGGTAACGCAATTATCTAGAATTCTCAGCAGACATTAAGAATGCAAATTGACGTCGTTCAAATTGTAGTTGAAACGCAATCTGTGAGCATAAAAAGCTCCAGACAACTGACAGGCGTCTGAAACATCGTAGAGACGGCTACAGCTGTATCAAATGCAGCAACAGAAAATATTGTATCGATTGTGGATCTGAATGCAAGTATAATTTTACTGTGAAGCGTTTGTTTACATTTTGCTTTGTAGCCATTTAAGTTGAATCTCTAAACGCACGTTTCGAACATAATTGATAATCAATGAGTGTTTGAGACCACAAGGGACGCACAAGACGCATTTCATTTAAATGAACCCAATGGAAAAAGCCCAGATATCGTGGAAGAAAATATATCGACATTATTGGACAAAATCTTCGAAGTACGTTCTTTTACCCTCATCATCTTTTTTTTACCCTCATTTCACCCTCACCTGTACACAGTATGGATTCACTATACAGTTTAGGCAAATCTTTTTAGTAGTAATTTTATTTAGTCCTTGATCTTAAAACTGACTTGGTGATGATGAAAGTTTAAAAGAAACTTTGTCTAGATCATACCGAACAAAGAGAAAAATATAACATAAAAAAACAAAAAACAAAAA